GAAGCAAGAATGGAACGACACAGGAGAACAGAAAAGGAGCATTTAAAATTAGAGACTTTGAACAAAAGGAAAGTAAGAATGGAACTTTACAGGAGAACAGAAACAGGAGCATTTGAAATTAGGGACCTTGGATAAAGGGGAAGCAAGAATGGAACGACATAGGAGCACAGAAACAGGAGCTCTTGAAATTAGAGACCTTGGATAAAGGGGAAGCAAGAATGGAACCAACGACATAGGAACACAGAAACAGGAGCTCTTCAAATTAGAGACCTTGGATAAAGGGGAAGCAAGAATGGAACGACACAGGAAAACAGAGAAAGAAGTATTTGCATTTTAGAGACATTGGACAAAAGGAAAGCAAAGTGGGAAAGAAACAGGAGAACAGAGAAAGGAACATTTGAAATTAGAGGGGTAAAGAGCCGCCTGAGGGGTAAATCTCGTAAATAATTGGCAGGACTTCCCCTCCCCCATTCAATTTTGCCTGTATGTAGCTAAAAAAACTAATGGCATCACAATACAACATTGTCTTTTTTTGGGGTGGAGGGAACGAATAGGTTACCCCAACAAGGGCAAAAGAGATCAAATTGAAGTAATAGGAGGTTGAAAAGGTCAATGGGTTCAACAATTTGATCACTGACCTTAGGGTTAGATGCTTAGCCGAATCTGTTGGTTACGATCCTGATTCAGGAGATCTGGGGAAGAGGGGAGTGCAGAATCACCCCCTAATCGCCATTTCTCCAGCCCAGTTAGGAGCGCCGATTTTAGGGTTAGATGCTTCTCTGTATCCGTCGGTTACGACCGTGATTTAAGAGTTCTGGGGCCGTGGGGAGTGCAGAACCACCCCTTAATCGCCATCACTCCCGCCCACTCAGGAGCCGTTATCCCTTTCATGGTCTTAGCTAAGGTTTAAATAGGTCTGTTAAACTGTAAGAGCATTAAACAATGAGAATCAGCTAGGTTAGGTTTTTGAATGACGGCGAGCTCGGCCTAGTGGACTAGTGATCAATGAAGATGAACTCTCCTCACCTTAAAAGGACTCAGGTCTAAGACCAACCTCAGTCAATGAGCGTAAACTGCCAGTTTACGCTCATTGGGTCTCTGCTTAAGAAGGCTTTCGGAAAGCCTTGTTGAGCAGAGACCCTGTCTAGTTCTTTCAACCAGGAAAAGCTCATGTGATATTTCTTAGATGACTCGTTTATATCCCTTAACTCACCCCTTCGAGTAGAACATTGAGCCATCGGTATGAATAAATAAAGTACTTTCTGCTTCAGAGTCTTTTTGTCTCAGATTGGACTGTCTTGAATTGCTGATATATGTGTCAGGCATCCACGCATGCTCAATGGTCGATCCCTTCAGCTGAATAACCTCCTTGGATTTATTTGCAAAACGCTTGTCTGTCCAGTAGTGACGGAGGTAACCAAATAAGGTGTACTCCTTGAAATAAAAATTAAAAACCGATCATTCAGTTTCGTATTCAGATGCCTTTATTTAGGACCTTTTTTTACAGCTGGTCACTCCGTTCATTTTGAAAAATGAAACGAAACGTCTTCTGATCCTTGGTCTTCATTCTGGACGCACCCTTAAATTGCAAAATCGTGTTTCTATTGCAAATTTGCGCACAGACTGTATGTGTGTTGAAAGCCCAAATGTAATTAAGTCCTAAATGTAATAAGCCTCACTTAAACATCTCAATGTGGATGTCCACTGTAACAACAATGCACTGGCGGAGTTAAACAATTGCATTGGAGGCTTATTACATTTTGGACTAATTGTTACTACATTAAAAACTTCATTACATTTTGTGCCAAATATTATTTCATTTAGGACTTTATTACATTCAGGACAGTTATTACATTTAGGACTTTAACATACGTGCAACAAAGACCGGCCGCAACGTCTTAGGAAAATGATTGATTCCCTACCATATTAGCTTCTGCAATATTTGCGAATGATTCGACGTACAAGTCCACCTCCACATCCAGTGGCTTGACTAAAAGAAGACAAAAATCAGAAAAAGAGACAAAATACAAATAAAACGAACAAAAAGACAAAGAAGAACGTCGACAGCAACAAAACAAGGACAGCAACAACAACAAGATCAGCAATAAACAACAAAAAACAAAAACATCACTCAACAAACAACACACAACAAAAACAACAATTACAACAACAAGAATGAGAGCAAGAACAAAAAGTAGGAAAATAGCAACACAAAAACAACAATTGCAACAACAAGAAAGAGAACAAGAACAAAAGCAAGAAGGACAACGGTGAAACAAACAACGATTAAAAAAAAAAACAAAAACAAAAAGGATAAGAGAGAGAAGAACACTAAGAAGAAAAAGTAGAAGAACAAAAACAAGAAAAATAGCAACAATGCCAACAGCAACTAGGAGATCAAGTGGAACAACAATGAGGAAAAGAAGAAGATGAAGAAAAACAGCAACAAAAAAACAAAAACAAAAGGATAAGAAAGAGAAGAACACTAAGAAGAAAAAGTAGAAGAACAAGAACAAGAAAAATAACAACAATGCCGAAAGCCACTAGGAGATCAAATGGAACAACAACAAGAACAAGAAGAATAAGTACCTCCGTGGTCGGGTCTCACGTCCTTGTCATAATTTGAGAACAGCAAGTCCCGTATCGTCTGATTAGCAACTCTTTGCGACGACCTGTCAGAAAATCGACATGAGACGCGTTTTCTTGGCAGAAGAAGGATAAAAATTCGGGAAACTCATGGGGCTAACCGACGTGTTTTTATAACCCATGATGCACTTTTTCAAGGGTTAATGACTCTATCTACCCTTTACAAACAAAACATAACAATTTTCATTCGGGAGTTTGTCTGCATCGGCAGCCGAGAAATAAATAAATTTTCATTATTTTTTCTGCCATCAAATACTTTTTGTTTTTCTCATTTTAAAAGATCCTATCGACGTTCAATGGAGAGGATCTCAATTTTAATTTCATAAGCAGTCTTAACTATTATTGGAAAACACTCCAACTTCTTTCCTTTAAAATGAAACCATTATTCTCCATATTTACTTCGGCAGAACCTGCTGAAAAGCTATTTTTTCATTCTGCCTACATGCACATTGCGTGCTTTTGTGTAAGAATAACGGACACACCACGATGTAAAGGCCATCGTAACCGTTTTACACCGAGGCAATCGAAAACTCACCAGGATATGCTAATAATTACAACGAATACTTATAGAGGAGATTTATCATTATCTCACAATGTAAATATCTATGAAAATAAATTAACTTTTGGGCTATAAAACTTCCTAGAAGAGACGAGTTTGACCTTGATGTCTCCAAATGATTTTAAAAACACACCTTTTTTCCAAAACTCATATTTTAATTGATGCAAGGATCTTTTTAAACAATGCTTTTAAAAAGCTTAATCACATACAACTATTTTTGAGAACCTTCCTCAGCTAGATTCGTAACTCTAAGGCAAATATTCCGGGCGCGGGAATATTCAACTCCATTTCAAGATAGAAATAAAAAGTGGTATTAATTTCCTTATCGTCGATGTGTTTTTCGAAATGCAAATGTTATTTCCAAAACAAAGCCATTTCAAAATTGGTCTTCCATACACTGTGCATGTGTATGTCTATCGTGTTCAAATTTTGTTTCACTGAATTGAATATAACAATTGAAACATCATTTTAATAATTTCCCCGCTGCAATTTTTTGGATGAGATATTTCTCTACAAGATTAAAATATATTTTTAAACGCAATGCTCCTTTCTCAACAGAATACGACAACCTTTCGGGTAACATGCAAAAATGACCTTGTTGTTGTTATGTTCGGTGTAATATTCGTGAATTATTTATGGCGATCAAGTGGATCTGGCTAAGCTTTCAAGACCAAATTAAGACAGTTTTTTTTAATATCGAAAAGAAAGAATACATTTGTCACGGAATGATAGAAAAAAAGAGACATCAGAAAAGTAAAATAAAGCAGAAAACCTTTTCCGCTCAGACACAGCATCAGTGGATTTTATAAACACCGTTTATCTTCTAGGTTTTTTATCATACCAAGTTTAATTGAATTATGCAAAGTGTAGATAATACTGCATGAAAAGTAAGCTGTTGAAAACTCTTCATTTCGAAATACATTTTACTATTTCAGAATGGTTACTTGCCACGCAACTGATTCGAAAAATATAATATTAATTCTGGTTTTGAACCGCACAAATCTGGCAATAACCTCTAGAAACGTTTAAGCAACGTTTTTTTTAAAGGTAAAAAATGTTCAATTGTCTCTGCAAGTGCGATATGACAGCGTCGCAATAAAAGACGCTCCTCGTAAGTGGTTTGCGCAAGAAAGAGGCGAGCGCTGAATTGTTTCGCTTTTGACATCGAGAGCTTTTTCAGTTCTTATTGAAACCAAAACAAAGCATTCACGTTAAACCATATTTCTCGAGGGAGCTCCAAAACTAAACATCCGTCCTTGAGAACAGTGATTGGCGATCATAGCTATCATGCAAAAAATTCAACCGCGACAAACAATAGCGAAAGTTAGGAAATCAAACTAAATCTTTTGACGAACGAACTCAATCCCAAAAGATGTGTCAAAATTTTACAAAAAAATTAGCCAGAATTACGTGAAAATATATCGGTTATTGAAAAAGTTATACCTAAAAGATCCAAAAAATATAGTTACATTAAATTAAATGTCGGGTAAACGCAACACCAATTTGGTTATTGATCGGTTTTGAATGAGGTAAGCCTAAATTTAAAAAAAAAAAAAAAAAAAAAAAAAAAAAAAAAAAAAAAGAAGAGGGTTGTAATTGTTTTGAACGTCAAGCACTTTGAATAATTCTTTACTCGGGCTCCAAAAGTTTTTTTTTTACCTCAGTAATTTGAATTGGTTAGTTGAAAAAACTTAACATATTTTACTTACCCGAACGGGTGAAATATGGTCGTGAAGACGATAAAAGTGAAGAATTTTGAAGAATTCGTGAGAGACATGGCGTTTTAATCCAACTGCGTCTTTCTTAAATAAACGATGATCTGTAATCGAATGCCTCTGGGTAGGAAAACTATCACCTGCGACAATGTCTCCTTGGCTACCCTAAGAAGAAACAACCAGAAAAAAGGTGAAAAAATAATGACTATATGTTTCTTTTTCTGTACCATTTCTAGCTTTGACGGTTGAATCTAGCTCAGAGTTGATTTTATTATCTTAATCCTGAAAAAGTTTTTAAGATCTGTTCGCTTGGGCATATTTTTGCGTCTTTCTGATGAGAGCGTGGTTACGCTATTCGCTTGGTATGCAAGAGGTATGAATTTTGTCTTATGTTCAAATGGATAAATTATAACTAGGCCAGTTGAAATCTCAGGAAGATTCCTACTTGAACGAAAAAATCAACTCGTCTATTCAAACGAAAAGGCGTTTATATCTGCAGACGTCTGGCTAAGGGCTAAGGTGTTTAAAGCGAAGCTAAGATAACCCAGGGTTTGTTTGAAATCTGACCTCACGTATGAAAGCTTTAAAAGAATATTCATTATAATTAGATAACTTATCTACAATTTGGTACTTGGATGCTTTAGAAAGAATAGAGGAAATTATCCGAAAAAGGCTTTTGAAAAAAGAAATAAAGAAACCCAGATTAAATCTGGGTTAACGCTAATCGGCCTTCGAACAACTGGGGTCTGCAGTTGTCAATAAGGACCTTAAGCACACCCTGACGGCGAGGGCAACGAGGACGTAGCAAAAAAAAAAAGATCTAATGGCAGAACAATAGTCAGCACGTGCGTTTTAAAAATGTTTATATGTCTAAGCCGTCTTTTGGTGAAATCACCAAAATTTGCGTCGTCTGGAAACAGAAAGCGCAACGGCAAATATTTAAATTTTCCATTTGGAACTCAACGCTGCTTATAAACGTTGTACTGAAGTTGAGGTGTGACACCGTAAGAGATTTAGACAGTTAACACACGCAGCTATTTTCAAAATTCTAACTAAAAATTAGAAATTCATTTCTTAATCGACGTCTTTCTTAGCGTTGCTGTGCTTACTGCTCATGGTCCCTATCATCTCAACAGTGTTGACGGCAATTGGGTGAGCATATGTTTCCTTACGATCACATTGATACATATTTCTAAGAAAGAGTGATGAGACGAGATTTCGGAACCCAAGTCAGTTATTTACAGAAGGAGTCTAACTTACCAAGTGTAAACTACTTACCCCAAAAAACGTGCATAAAAAGGTTCTATTTACTCTTAGACTGTCGCTCGACTTAAATGTGATGAACAAGCGTTGAAAACTCGACCTTTGGAGTATAGCGAACAGTTTGCGGAAGTCGAACTTCCTCGCTTTCGGAGTTAAGAAGTTATCTGCTGAAACTTTTTTCTTCACTTTCACGTATATACAAAAACATCGCGCGCGCTCAACTAATTAAGATACATATGCTCACGTCTACGCCTACTCATTTACATCCACGACGCAAATAAATGAGTTCCCTTTTATGACATATATTAGCACAGAGCCTATGTAACAACTTTGATATCCTGAAGGGTATAAATCAAAAATATCACACACATAGTATGAAATATTGCATAAGTTTGAGCTTAATTAAGCATAAACAAGGTTTGTGGTAAGCCTATTCCACAAATGTTTCTGGATAATTCATCTATGCGTCACTCCTAGTTGAAGCAATTTAAGTATTGAGACGAGCAAATTAAAATTATCTCGAGTAGCTCACACTATCACATGAAATAACGGCAGGGGGGAAGATTAATGGAATGTGATTTAAATTATTCCATAAGTCTTTTAACGCTCTAGCAAAATCTATACGGGGCTAAATTGGAAGCAACATCCAATCCAATACCTTTATTAGATGATGTTAAAAACTCCTTTTTTTCCATTTTCCTTTTTATTATTTTTTTTTTGAAAAGGCGATGCACTGACGATTTCTGATGCTGACTACGAGTTCCATGCACTATTGTTTTCTTTGCTTCTTGCCCTAGTGCTGCTAAAGGAAATTTGAACGCAAAAATATCTCCAAACAATCTCACTAGTTCAATTAATTATTTAAGCTTGCAAATTACAATCCACGAGAAAAGAGTTACCGACAAGAAATTATCAACCCTCTTGAGTCGTAGTAATTGGCCTGATTTGTAATTATACTTTATTATACAGACTTTCACATCAATCATCGACTTTGACCTGCAACACCAGAAATTATGTTTCAAAAGAATCGTCTGAGTCACGTGAAAGAACGACTAAACGCTTTTCGTAATTCTTTCTTATCAACTCCTTTAACAGTCTTGTGTTTTGGTTTTCCTAATACCTTATTTAAATTGCGATTCAGTTGAGAAAATTCAATTTTCAACCATTGATTCCATTCAAAGATTTTCTGCTCATTCGCCGAAAAAAAATAAAAATAATAAAAAAAAAAAAAGTTGCCCCGGGCAATAAACTGTCTTGGGGGCGAAAAGTTGTCGTTCACCTGTTTTTATTTTCTTCACCAAAAATTGAATGAACGTCAAATCGTTTTAAAAGCCAAAGACGAGAACCAACCGCTTCCAAGAGCTCTATTCAGTTACATACTATGAAAGTTAGTAAGGGTGGCAGCTGTTTGTTTAGACGGTCGGTCACTGGTTTCTGCTTTTTTTAGCTCCTAATCTAAAGACGGGGGAGGTAGGTGGAGTCGTTAAGTAATAAGTGTTGCATTAGTACGGAAAATTTCTACCTTTGCGATAAATCTATGGACATATTGTTAAAGCCTTCAAAAATCGTTCATCGGCGCATGCACGTTACAATTTTATGGCTGAAAACTTTATAAAATATACTTCAGGAAAAACAGATCTTAAAACAGATAGGAACATAAATTCGTGCAGAGAACTCCAAAATCCGCTTTACGTTTTTCAATAATTTAGACACATGAATTCCATAGATCTTGAACTAATTACCAGCAAATGTCTCAGTATTGCGTAATAGAAGTGGAATTGAAAACAACCATACCAAAAGTGGTCAAGATAGCTTGCTTGACTTATGGGACTCAAGGTTTCTTACTTCTGATGATGGACAACATCCCGTCAGGAAAACGTGTCTTTCAGTCACTGCATGTAGCCTAAAGGAGTTCGAGACCATCCTCAAAAGCATATCAGAAGGCCAAGCGTTTGTAAAATACAATCACGCACAACGGCAACTCGATGTCGATAGCAATTCCGCCCAATTTTCTTTTATTTTCGAGGTTTTTTTTTTAATCCAAAAGCATAAATTACAAAACAGTTGAGACCTTATCTTTCTCGCTCAAAATGGAAGTCTTTGTATTGCGTCCAGGGACCTAACATTTGAGATTACAAATCAGGGAATACCAAGAGCTTTTACGTAGCCAGTAGCGTTACGAAATCGCGATCTTTAGCCTAATCGCTGTGTCTGATTTAAAGGTTTAGCGGATGGAGAGAGTTGTGTTCGGTGAAGCACAAAGACTCTCTCCCCTCTTCCCTTCTGTCTTCTTTCGCCTAAAATGGAGACATTTGTAAGCCAATTAATTTTCTTTCCAGCCTTTTTCCGCCTAAAAAAATCTAAGATTATGTCTAGGCGTTATACGGAGATAAAAAGGACTCGCGGCCGCATTGCACTCTACTCGCTTTGTGTTATGAATACCTACACCTTACGGTTATTCTGAGAGCCTGTTTACCTATTTAGGCAAGTTTCATTCATTAATAATTTACGTTTACATTAACATTTAGGGAATAAATAATAAACTCATATTATAATTCATCTTTCCAGCTGAGCAATTGAACTCACGATTTCTAACCGTTAAACATAACCAGGCCACAGTTAAACATTCGACTGACGCAAATTAAAAGACCAAGTACGTGGTAATGCTAATGCTGAATTGAAATGCACTCTGCAAACCTTTCAAACTACAGTTAATAAGCTTTGCATACACATAATGAGTGTAAATTGCTATATTAATTTACAGCAAACGAGTTTGCGATAAGTATTTTTTACGACATTGCGAATCTCGTGCAATCGCCAGCAGTAAAGGAAAGGATTAACTGCTGAGTTAATGAACACAATCGTTGAAGTTAGAGACGTAGCAAGAGAAGAATAAAACGAAGAAACCAAATAAATAACAAAATATGGACAATAACAGATGATAAGAACGAGAAATAATATAAAAGAGTTCATTGCAGATCTTTTCAGCCCCGCCACGTGTGAATTGGTGATGAATTTGTTATTGGTTTCCACCGCTTGCATCTGGATTTGAATCACATGTTGGTGATGGCGAACCTTTCCGTATATTATCAGGTTGGAAATAGTAGAGACAAATATGCAAATGCTTATCACAGTTCCCATTGCTATCAAAAGGAATCTTTCCGCCCAAACTTCGGAGCTTGCTAGGAGAACACAAACTGCCCAAATCGTCCCAAGTGTGCATGCCACACGAGAATTTGTAACAATACTCGGATACTGAAGAGGCTTCTGTAAGGCAATGAGCCTGTCCACACTAATAGCTGTAACCGTACAAAGAGATATACCACATATACAAAAACCAAATACATTGTAAACATCCCAAAAGATATCTTTGAGTACCTGGGACTCAGAATACAAGGTTATGAAATCCTTTGCGACAAAGAGAGGTTGTACGATCGCACCAACACTGAGATCGGAAAATGCTAGAAAACATAGTAACAATATCGAAGGTGAACGAAGGCTTGGTGTTTTCCATATTCCATGCAACACCAGCGTGTTCCCGGCTATTGATGTTAGGGCGAGAAAAATGTTGACCGCACAATTTACCACCAAAATATTATGCATGATGGAATTAGTCAAGTTTCTTTACCCTTTGGATCACAGTTTTGGGACAAATAGACCTACTGACTTTTTTGATGAAGCAGTTGTTAGGAAACAAATAATCGTTGTGGGGAAGGTATCGACACATTTAGAATCTCTAAATAAGTGATGATCGTAAAGGCGGTTCAATAAAAAACTAATTAAAAATTAATAAGCAGGGGCATCTGTTTTTGCGTTGAGCACCGAAAAAAAAAAACAGCTATAACAACAAAAAAACCATCGTGCGTTCAAGAGGACCAAGAATTAAGAATGAGCAGGAGGAACATTAGACAAAGTGTAGTAATCGCATTTTCAGGAGTTGCAGAAAATTGCCCGAGTCACACAGCGGCGACGAGGAAATTTCTGCAATTTCTGAAAACAAAAGTGATATTAATCCTTTATTTCGAGAGCAAAATGCGCTTAATTTTCATGATATAAAGGGAGTTAGAGTCATTGGACTTTCAAACGCACGAATCAGCCGAGTGGAAATGTATTTTTGTAACACTACAATGTAACCAGCCCTGCTAAAAATAATTTGCCATCAATGAAATTTTCATACTTAAACGTAAAGTTGTCTCTTTCTCGTTTTCAATTTTAATTTACAAATTCAAATGCTGGGGAAAATTATTACAATTAAGGAAAACTGTCCTGTCTAAGTAGCCAATCAGCATCTAGTAATTTTCCTCTCTTTGTTATAAGAAAGGTATAATTTGATCCTTGTTTGGGAGTTTCGAGTTAGATAATTCACCTGTAATTGTCGTCAAGAAAAAACGAAGCATCATTACAGGTGATGGTCTTTGCATTAATACGTTACAACAGAAGCTCGTGACCTTGAAGCGGGGTTTATTAGCTGGCTAAACAGTAACATTACACAGGTGAAATTCTAGCCCAAATACGGAGTTAGAGTTTTGAGTTGTGTTTGCCTTCATAAAAACTTTACAGCCGATTACGTAGAGGCAGTGAAAACCCTTCACTAATGAAAGATTAATCCATAAGTTATGGTAATCGATTTCTCTGAAGGGAGACTGGGATAACATTCCTATAAAAAAATTTGGGTTCAATTTCCAACTTAAATGCAGTGGCTGTCGGTGAAAGCGGAATGCAAACGAATCGAGAGGTTTGCTTTGAGAGTGTTAAATGGAAAAGATTTACACAAGTAGACAGTCTGAACTGTCGAGAAAATAAGCTTCTAAGTTTTCTCCGTTCCTCGTTCTTCAAACAATATCTCAATGTATAGTGCATGCAGTAAGCTCTCGGTTCAAGGACATCTTGCTATTTTAAAGAACCCGATGATACGGATGGCAGCTAATTTCCATAAGAAACTCGTTAAATACGGAGTCCTAATATTAAGGACACTATATTGCAGTTTCAAGGTCGTCTGCATAGATGGAGTTTATAATTGTACTGGTCAACTCTGAAAGGGATCTGTTGATAGAAGTTTCTTAGTCTTGATCAAAATCAACCCCATAGTCGAGTCTGGTTATTTCTGCAGTAAGCACAAGACCTGGTCCCTGCATTGTTGCTCTTGTTGTGAGAGTAAATATAGGCGAGTATGACCAGGTGCCACTGAATTGAAGTCTTTAAACGACCCCATAGTCGAGTCTGGTTACTTCTGCAGGAAGCACAAGACCTGGTCCTTGCATTGTTGTTCTTGTTGTGAGAGTAAATGTAGGAGAGTATGACCAGGTGCCACTGAATTAAAGTCTTTAAACGTAATTCCACCTGTTACCCTGTTACCATGAAGATCGATTTGCTGTCCCTCATTTAAAGTACTAAAACGTTTTCCTCAATTTTCCTATCCTCGGTAAGAAGAAAAAAAAGCCCGCAATTTTTCATGGTAGGGTGGCTGCAATCCATACCTGTGTTGGATCTCTCTCCTCTTTACCAGGTATGGCTGAGGATGGTGATATTTGGCTCTCAGTGGCTCCTGCAACAAGCCAAGGGTTGGCTAGACTCCTTTGAAATTTCTGAAGTTCGTGTGGACCCCCTATTTCAATCTTCGCAATCGCTATTAAGCGCTTTATTTCTCACACCAAATCACCTCCAAAGCTTTGAATAGGGTGAATTCTGGAGATTGCCCATTAGGCTGTACTCGTGTTGATTTTTTTTCAGTGAAAATACAATAACAAATGTACAAAAATCAAAGTTTAGGACGAGTCTGTTTCACAGCCTCTCGAATTTCACGCAGTCGCCAACAGTAAAGAAATGGATTTACCACAGAGTTCACGAACACGATTGTTGAGGTGAGCCCTCTTGCTAGGAAGCCATTGATCGTAGATTGCGAATATATGGCGTAAACAACAAAATATGGAAAATAGCAGATAAAAAGTACAAGAAATACTATAAAAGAATTGAGCGCTGATTTTTTAAACTTCAACATGTTGTCCAAACTGCCATCCGTATTCTTTCCCACCGCTAGAACCTGAATCTGAATCGTGCGTTGATGGTAACGAACCGTTTTGTAAATCAACAGATGAGAAGTGGTGGAAACTCCGAGACAAATCGAAGTTACGATTCCAATTGCGCTCACTCGAATGTATAAGCTACTTAACTGCAAGGCTGGCAAAAGAACACACATTATCCAAATCGTTACAAGAACGCGTTTCGCCCGAGGGATCGTGACCAGACGAGGATACTCAAGGGCCTTCTCAATGGCGATCAGTCTGTCTAGGCTTATAACAGCTACTGTGCAGAGAGAGATTCCACATAACGTGTACCCAAACGTGTTGTAGACACTCGAAAAGACGTCCTTAACATTTTGGGATTGTGAGTACACTCGAAGCAAATTGTTGACGATAAAAAGTGGTTGTGCTACTATGCCAACTGCTAGATCAGAGAGTGCCAAACCACACAATAAGATAATAGAGGGCGAGCGAAGAGTTGGTGTTTTCCATACTCCATATAACACCAATGTGTTCCCAACAAATGATGTTAAAGCCAAGGGAATATTCACCACACAGTTGATCACCAAAATATTACGAATGGCATTAGTTATATTTTGTCCGTCTATAGATTGTAGGCTATTTGAAAGGGAACTGTTGATGGATGTTTCTGACATGCCCGAAGCGTTCGTTTGGTAAGAAAAAAACGAGTTACCTTCCACGGCAGTTCTGCAGTAATTCTTTTCGCGGTAAATCTACGGATACGACGTGTTGACCAGCACGCCAAGAGTCTCGATATATCTTATTTGTATAGTTGAATCACGTTTTGCCGCTACAAATGCAAACGTCACCGAGATGTCGTAATAATAGAGAACTTACATCTAAACATGTCACCACAGATAACATTAAGTGAGAGCAAGTCCACCTCTCTGAGAAAGGGTACTCATACTTGCGTCATACAAAGGGCATTTATATGTCAATTGTGAAAGGTTAAATAATGAGAATGGTCTATTTCCAAGCTAAATTAGCATTCGAGGTGAAACATGTGAAGCAAACAATTGCTATAGCGTCGCACAGATATTTAATATATATTTTTTCTTTCTTCCAAGTTACCCCTGAACCAGAGGAAAGAAAATAACATCAAAAATTAAAAAAAAAACTATATATTTTTTTTTCGAAGGTGCGATACTAATAAAATAAAAGCATGGATTAGGCTGTGAAACGTTTAATCATCCGTCCAGCTGCCGAAATGAAAAAAAAAAAGAGAAAACACAATTTAGTTTTACTTGATGGCGCTAAGCATGCGTATTTTCCCATTATGTCCCCTTTCATGCGAAACTAAGTCCTAGGGCGTATATTTTCTTATTAAAAGGAGTTGAATTATTTTTTCCAAGCGCAAATTAATTCTGTTACATTCACGGATAGCATGAAACTTTAAGAAACAGACGTAATAATATCATCCTTGTGTGTCAAATTATACGTCAAACGTTCCGCCCGAATTATGATTTTAATTCATAAACCATAAAATAAAACGTAAGTTTTGGCCGGAATTTTGCATCTATAAATTATCTTGTTCCACAACTTTCGCGGCGAAGAATAAAGTTCCGGATCGCTTTGCTTCTGGTGAACTTACAACTTACTTGAGTGTTGAATACCCGTTTATTTGTTTGTGTGTATTTGTTCTTGGCAACAAGGAATACAACCCAATTCAAGATCTGCATCAAGACGTGTCATCATCAATCTCGAAAATTACAAGCACAGTTTGTAATTTTTATTAGCGATACTTGATCGGGTGGGAAAACCAAAACATTGCAATGCTAGCTGCTTGACCCTGTCTTTAACATGCAGTTGTGTCCTCTCAAAATGATACCCCATTCATACCAGCAAAATGTGTTTAGCTGAACCGGGTTTTATCGGATGAAAATCAGAAACAGAGAACTAAAAAGTGAGTTTTCCATGGGGTTCAAGAAGTCACTAATTTTTATTTTCGATGTGGTAAATTTGACGTCGACCAACATCGGTTTCAGCAGCTTCTGTGAGAGGCAAACAATTTTCAATTGTGTTAAACAAAACAGCTTTAAAATATGTTTAAGCTGTGGCGTGAATTGGGTATTCGAATAAGAAAAATCTTATCCTGGATGAATTTTTAACCACTTAAAGAGGCCGACTCTTTATTTGAATATGAAAATGTCCATTACCTAAAGCCGTGTAAGAAAGTTAGAAATCTCATAAGGAATTAACGCTTTTAAGCGGAACTGTTTCTTTTACGGAAAAAGAAAAGAACAGATGACGTTTTTAGTGACGGCAATGATTGCCCTTTCTCTCGTTGAATCTAACTGTTTTTAGGTTTCATTACGCGAAACCCAATCGAAAATATTAAGCGAACATCCGCAATCCACTTCGCAGAAGTGTAACTGGGAGAAGGACGGACTGGAAAAAAATACTTTTAAAGGTTTCGCACGTGTTTTCTGTTCTGTCCAACATTTCTTCCTTTCTTAAATTAAGCCTTTCTGTATAACATACAATCAAAGATACGACTCGAAGTTGTAAACCACTTCGCAGAAGTGTGCTTAGAAACGACGAGAAAAATCATTCAAGGAGGTTTCTGAAACAGGTGTTTTTACGAAAGTGTGCCATGAGTTACTCCTTACTTCAAGTTAAAAGAAAATTTACATTTCTTATGTTTAATTTAAACAATCGACATTCACAGGTAGCAGTTTTTAAAAGACATTTCGCGGTTTATATTTATTTTTCTTTCTTTTAAGTCCTTCTTAAAGGTTTTTAGCGTGTTCTCGTGGTGCTGCATGACAAACAAGACTGAACATTATTGACGCCACTTCACATTAGCTGATCAATCATAGTTTCCGCTATTCATTTGTTCCGTTAATAACCTTGTAAGCTCTAAGTGCTTAATCTGTTCATCTCAAAGTGGTCAACAGTTTCCGTTGACTATTTAAGGACCTTCACATAATAAGCCGAGTCCGAGCACGTATGAAATTTGAATCAATTTCTAAAAGACAACTTACGAAAATGTGATATTTTCTGCCAAGCTCCATGGCGCTTTTCTGGAGCAAAATATGCCGAAAAGAGTGCACAGTTTTTGTTTCATAGACGCAATAGAGCTCGACTTGAGACTGCATCTTTCTCAGTGTCTCTTATCCACTTCACCTCTTTCACCAAGAATAATAGTCTTATAATGTTGACGGCTATTGCGTTTCGCCCAACAAAATAACACAGGTGATGTCGAGCCCATTGCTTCACTATTGAAAAATATCGTACTCAAATTCATACTCACCTCGAAATCTGAAGGTCTCTAAATATGTTTCTTTAAACCAAGTTGAACTGAATAAAAATCAGGAATAGAATACTGAAAAACTGAATTCTGCATGAGATTCCAGGATTGATTAATTTTTATTTCCGCTGAGCTAAATCTGAAGTCGAAAAACATTAGTTGAAGCAACTTAAATGAAGAAGAGAATTCCAAACCGTGTTTGACAAACCAGCTTTCAAACGGGTTTTAAAGCTGTTCGTATTTAGCCCCATAACGCCGGCATCATAAACTTGAAAGTAAGTATAGCGAAACAAGATTCACAAATGACTTGATATTTCTCTTTCTCTGGGCCTGCTCGGCTTACACTAAAGGAAACACACGTGACATCCATCGGTAAATATTGTCGTGGCGTGTCAAATTTCCAAGGAAAATGTTCAAGACACTCCATATTTCGTAGCCAAATTATTGACATAATCATCCGTTAATTTCCAGTCCTCCTTGTTTTGTTTTATGCTTTGTAAAAGGTCGCAGATAACTGCAATAGAACACATACACAACGCATGAAATAACCTCAACTAATGATTATTTCGAATATTTTTTTTCCTCCCAATTACTTTTAAAAGGAGACGGTTAGATTAAGCAGCAATCCCTTTAAAATTTTGTCACAAAAGTCATGGGAATAAACTGCACATTCTCTTTGCCCGTGTCACTTCACAAGTGACACACAGTTGTCATGGGAAACATATAATTGCAAATAACACTTGAAAAATACTTGTATTGTGAAGTAAAGTAAAATAATTAAAAACTTCAAGATCAATCTTCTGCAATAGATAATTTTGTCAAGTACAAGAAGGAAGAGCAGAATTTTCAATAAACTAAGAATTCTGCTACTTAATTTTCATTTTAAATACTGCAGTACGGTTTTATTTAATATCGATAATGTTCAGTGAGGTATAAGGAGTCTTAGCATTGTATGAATCAATGTAATATTGACTCTGTAAATAACACGTACAGTGTAGGTAAGCGTACTGTTGATAGTACAAGAGAAAACATAATTTAAGTCTTAACAATGTCCTTGACATGTCTCCTGTGTTGTCAGGTTTAACTCTTTCACTGCCAATAACTCAATTTAATCTCTTTATCAATTGTAAAACATTAATTTCCCGTACATCTAGCCCTGATAATTCGGTGTTGAATCCAACAGTATCCTTTTAGCCGATATTTTTCTTTCCTTTTACTACTCTGCTTGAAAATATATGAATATGTTGAAGAGAATTTCCTTATTGGTCAGTTGGGACGCAGCTCTGACCATAAATTGACATACGTCACCGACCGCCCCAAAATATTGTAACCAATCAATTAACGAGTTTGCAATGTCACCCTCCATTAACAAAACCTAACAGCTGGCCAGCAAAAAGGCTCGTCTAAAAACAAACTTTATTGCGCAAGAATTGCATGTTAGAAAATCCAAATTTACACGACTGAACATGTGAGTCCACAAGACCGATATTACAAAATAATATATTTTTAAGCAAACATTTACTAAAAAAGTCAATTCTTTACTGACCTTCGGCTTTGAGCTAGTTTTCGAATTTATCGCAACTTATGATCCAAGTTCTCCACAAATTTTTCGTTAGAGAACACTTAAACAAGCAACACGTCTGTGTTCTGGACAGAAAAAAAAATGTCCTTTTGTCGTGCAGGATTGGGTATGGCTAAAACAAATACGCTTGTGGACGGAAAAAACTTGGGCAACTGACAGAAAAAATTGTGTCATCGTTGGGAATTCCTTTTCAAACGTGTCGTTTCATTCACGGCCGTTTTCGTTTCTTCTTCGCATGATACACGATCAAAAATGGACGAGGTTCAAGCGCCGTCCAAGGAACATTCGTGTATGTTTTTTTGTTCTTTTCTTTTTTTTTGTTTATTTTCACAGCGTCTTTTTCTACGTATCAAGTATGAATTTGATACAATAAATGGTTTGAACCCAGGAGTGAGGTTTGATTGTGTAGTCTGATCATAAGCTTCATACATCAGGTATGTCTGGGAGGCTGGGCTTCCGCACAGACTAGTTCTTCACGCTACCGTTATGTCGATGTTTTGAAGATAGCTTTGAACATCGAAAAAAACAACACCATTTTGGGCTCTTACTCGGTGTAGAAGACACAGTTGACGTAAAACAATAGGGAACAAAACGGCAAAAGAACGAGTAAAACAATGACAACAATAGGTTAATGAGGCGGTGTTCTATTGACATTTCTTGTGTTTTCTACACCAAGAAGGAGCCCCTTTTTGGTTCTTTGGAATCACTCGAAGCGAAATTGTACTTGTAGGACCCAACGTTTAAAAGATAAGACAAGGCATTCTTGCTCTACGAATTAGTAGCACCGATATTCCAAGTTCAAGCAAGTTATGTTTAAAATGGATTTCGAGCTACCGTTTATCCCTTTATGAGAAACAGCCTCATGCAGCTCTCCATGCAAATAGCATGATGTTGCTTAACTAGTGCGAGTGGTCGCACTAGGTTCACTCACCTGTCTTATCTTTGTCCGACAGAAACATGACAGCCATGCTGAATCTTTTCACTTCAGAAAGGTATTTCAATTCTTTGAACACCGGTAGGCCATTTCTAAAAAAGAATGAACAGTGTAGCATTAAAAAAAAGTTGTGCGTTTAGCATTAATGGAAAAAATAGATCCAAATCGTCTTCAAGCGCTTATCATCAAATCAACTTTGAACAATCAAGAAGAACATCTAAGAAAAACACAATTCATCCGATACACGTGTGCACAATACATGCCTTTTTGCTGATTCTAAATTGCGCGTATTTTTTATGAACGCAATTGCGTGGAGTTCTTTGTAAATTTCACTTTGCATGCGTGCAATACGCCGGAATTGTAGGCGCTTGAAACGCGTGAAGTGCAATAGCGCACGTGGGCGGTACTGTGAATGCCACAAGACTCTTGTAATCATAAATTGGAAACCTGCGCACGATCGTAGTGGTGTAACCTTAAGTAAAACCCCTTCCCAACTTTACTTGTACATAAGAGTTCGCATCAACTGATCAAAAACTCAACTTACGAGAGATAGAAATCGCGTAAGAGGTTCGTTATCTTAACCAGCATGTCTGACTCAAGAGACTGTTGGAACAACTTTGGGTAAGATTCTGGGTTGATTTTCTGGAAGCAAAAAAAAAAGCATTGTTACTTAGATTCTTTCCATCTTAGCTGTCAGTTTTTTTTCAAAAGAGTTATCAAATCAGAAATGCAAGTGCATTCACTGTTAATAGTGTGCTGTAGTCGGAGTGTGCAAAGGAAACATAATAAACGAACACACACAACAAAAGCAACAAAAACAAGCTAAGGGAAGGCCAAGGAGGTTGACAGAATATATACCACAAATATCACCCTTAATAATGGGACGCTTCGTTTCTCTTCAATCTAGATAGCCGCACACTCTTGAAGCGTATGATGTAGGGTTGTAAAAGCCTTCTTTTCACGTATTCTCCCGGCTTTCAGCTGTTCAACAGAGTCCTCACACGTTTATTAAGCGCAATCTAGAGCTATTGGCTACACTTGTCGTACCATTTTTGTGCCATTTATCCAGTGTCGTTCATTTTTGTCAGCAACAGTCACATAGCAATATAACATTCAATTGACAATAGCTAATACGAGCTGTAATTATGTTTACTTAATAGTCTCACCCTAAAATACTGAAATAGTTTATCAGGTTCTTTATGCAGTGCTCTCCAATCTGCTTGAAATTGTGCAGAAGACTTTGGTACTGCAAATGCCCTCGGGGAAGATTGTGCGCGAGCAGTGGACGCAGTAGACGGAGGCTGAGTGGATAATGGCGATGATGATGATGACAAAGGAGAATTTTTACTGGAATTGTCTTTTAATTCTACTTTGTTAGCTTGAACAGAGTCATGTACAGGCCCAGCTGAATTAGAATTGTTCCTTGTCTCGGCAGTTGGCAAAGAGGCTGTTATTTGAGCTCTGGTTGAAACTTTGGCCGTACTCTCTTCATGGTCACTGTCACTTTCTGTTCCAATCTCTTCGATGACAATCCTTTTAAGGGGTTTCTGAGGAGAAAACAGACACTTATTGTATGATAGGAGATGAGCTATTTCGAAACTGCAGTGATTCTCTGATACGATTCCTTAACAAGACAGTACTGCCAGTGCCTGTGGAACTGACAGATTTTTTTCTTATCCTTTTTCAATCCTAAACTCGTGACCCGACTCTTTTTACCTTTTAACCCCTAAGAGTGACAAGCATCTAGTTTCTCCTTACAACATCACCTGTGATTCACATACTAAGGTCACGGGAATAAAGCAAATGATCATCAAGTAAAAGATCTCGTAACTGTTAAACTAAGTCTCCTTGTTCGTACCTTAGGAAATGTATACAGAACAGTATAGAGAATATGCAAACTGATGTTAGGGTGAAAAGGGTTAATTAGGAATTTTATCCCTGTCTGATATACCAATACATTGAAAAAGTGCCCCTTGCAAGCAGAGGAAATAAGAGTCGTGACCTTCTTCCAGTCAAAGACGTTTCTAGGAAGTTTCTAGTTTTCATAACTTTAGAAGGCAAGGTAACCTACTCAGTTCCCACAAACGTTCTATTGAGCATTTTTATATAAGAAATAATAAGGTTGCCTGGCACTAATAATTGATGATCTAAAGGACAAGCTCTTGGGGACTGAGAAAAAAGAATATTAAACTCCATAGCTCACTCGTTTTACTGCAAGTCAGTCAGAAAACTGCTTAACTTAACAACAACTTACAGCTATCTCCTCCATTACATCAATTTGTATATGGTATTGAAGTTTCATTGCATGCTGATCTTTATTGTAATCAGCCATTATACAATTGACTTGTCAAAATCATATTGAAGAGGTCAAGGTTTTCTGAGCTTTTCTTAGGTTCTTTCTCACCTTGGATTTTGTGGGCAATTTTTTATCTTCCTCATTTTTTGGTGACTTTTCTTCAACTTTTGTTTGCTTTCTCTTTTCATTCAACAGCTGAATAAAAAAAAAAAACCTTAAAGTAAATAAAGATTTTGAAAAAAAAGTACTGTGGTACAATTGGTACATGCAGTTGGGATAAAATAACACAGTTGCTACCTACATGTATGTAGGGTTCCTACCATTTTTCAGAAACAAATTTCAACGGCTTTTCAGGACTTTTGCAGGACCCAAATTGATTTTTTCCATGACTACAAAATTTCACCTTAAACCCTTTCATTTCCAATATTTCAAAATCAATTCTCCTTACAGTCTACATACATTTCTTATATAAAAAATTCTGAAAACTTAAGTGCTTGAATGATGATTTTAGATATATGAAATTCATATATTTGCACTGCAGTGAAGAGATGAAATTAAGAGATCCTCGCTGCTAAGAACACTACTGAAACGAGTAGTTGAAAATAGGACCTGAAAAAAATTCAGGCCATATATCTGCCATATAGCTGTGACGATCTCTTACGTGCTTGAGTTAAGCTGGTTTCCAGACCTGACTGGGACCTGTAGTCTTTTTCCAGGACTTTCCAAAATAAAAATTCAGGACTCTCCAGGTTTTCCAGGACCCTTACAAAACCCCGTGTATGCCATCCTATGCATATCAGGGAATCTGAAAATTATATTACCAAGAGCACATTACCTTAGCTATGTTTTTCAATTCCTCTTGAGCCTGCTTGTTGCTTGGCTCCAGTCTCAGTACATCTTTATAGTCAGCCTCAGCTTCTTTCACCCTTCCAAGCTGAAAGCGTGCCGCTCCTCTTCTCAGATAAGCCTTAGTGTATGAAGCATCCAGGGACAAGGCTTGGCTACAGTCTGCTTCAGCAGCCCCATATCTGTAAATAAATTATAACAAATAAGATTCAGAGTTGAATAGGAAGAACACCATTTGTAAATGTATGCTCTCAAGGATAAGGGTGGGGTTTTAAAAATATTTTTGTTTTTGCTTGTTTACTTTTAATTCTTAAATCTAATTTTCAACATTATGACCATCATTATCATCATCATGATTATCACTATCACTGTCTCAGTCAATGTCAAGGTAAATTCATCATTACCAGTTCTGGTGTCATTGATATAATTATCATTATCATCATAATTATTTCTCTAGTCACTGCCTTATGTACAGTGACCTTACAGTTCATCTGTTCATATCACTTTAAAAGAAATAGTCTTTTGAGAGAAAAGACTAACCTTTTCAATTTTAGAAGACACATTGCCCGGTTGGCTGGGAGTACAGCATTTGTTGGGTCAAACTGAATTCCAGTTGTGTAGCAGTTAATGGCTGCTTCATATTTACCCTCCTTAAAAAGTGCATTTCCCTGTAGATGCGCATGTAAACAAAAGTTCAGTAAAATCAAGAAATAAAGTTTGATATGATTCTACCTGTTAATCTTTAAGTAAGTTAGTATGCTATTGGGAGGAGAAATGACTGTGAATACAAAACAACACATTCAGTTGAAACAATCCAATTCTCGTAGAGGGTATAACAAGGGCCACAAGATAATTATTTTATTATTCAAAACTTAGGTTCTAATTTTTGTTTCTCCTTTTAGATTCTAAATCATATAACCATTGTATGTATCCATTTTTATTATTATTTTTTTCAGTTCAAAAAGAGCATTCCCACAGAAATTATCACAGGTATCAAGAATAAAGATTTTCTTAATATTGTAATCAAGATGAGACAACTAACACTACTGGTAACACAAAGGAAAATATCCAAGGTACAAAAGTATCAAACTTTTTAACTTCCTTTCCTTGATACATAGCCTGTTGACCTCATCACCAAACTGACAAAAAGTCATCCAAATGTTCCAATCTACATACTTAGTATCCATATGATTAAATACATACATGTATGTATGGCTTGACAATTCAGAAATCTTTGACATTGTCATTTTTGATTTACAAGGCATTTTGGTATTCTCTAATACAAGGACTCAGTGGCTCAGTTTACTTTCTTTTAAGAGTATATATGGATTCATTTTAAATGACCATGTTATTAGCAGACATACTCAAATCTTACCTTGTCCTTTTCAAGAAGTGCCTTCTGCAATCTTTGCTCATTTTCCAGATCTTCATCAGTCTCTTCACTCTCTTCTTCAGAACTGGAAAATGTCTTCATTTCATCTGCTTCATCCATGTCTTTTAACACTTTATCCTGATGGAGCCATTGAATATTAATTGAGTACATTAAATAACAAATAAATACATGTTCACATTCATTTTAACCCTTTCACTCCCAAGATCTGATCATTAATTCTCCCTTCCAGCTCCTACACATTTCCTTGTAACTTAGATGTGAGAATTTGGTGTAAGATCACAACTTCTACCTGATAAGTTTAAGTACTCTCATAACCTGTTTGCTGGATAATCTATGGATATTATTGGGAGAAAGTACATGTTAATCACTTTTGGGAGTTAAAGGGTTCAGACAACTAATAATTGTCATTTGACACAGAGTTGCTTGATTTCAATTTATGAAACCAAAACAAAAATAACTCTTGCACACACACTCAATGGCAAGTAATACACTGTTACCAAAACCAACTGCTGACAGTTTTAAATTAATACTTACAACATCAAATTTATCCCATGATCTGTAGTCATAGGAGCTTATTCTTGTTCCAACTTCTGGTTTTTCTCTGTCAGAATCTCTCTTTTTCTTCTTCTTTCTCTTGGCTTGATTCCTTACAGGAGGAAGGTTCTGCAGCACACAATGTAAAATTAATGGTCAATAGAAACCCGTATGTTTGCATACACTGTGCATGGATTCCAAATTATTGCACAAAGTAAATGGTATGAATAATTGATCATCAATATATTCTTAAAATTAGGGGAAACATGGATTTGTAACATCCTCTCAAGTCATCAAAACATCTCTCACTGTCAATGTTCCAACAAAGGTGATCACACTTCACAACCAACTATGTGGTCATGTTAGGTAAAATTGTTCACCCTTCAACTACCAGAAGTGATTAACAAGTAACTTCTCCCTATAATATTCATACATTATCCAGCAAACAGGTAGTGAGAATGTTCAAACTTATCACATGTAAGTTTTTATCGTGATCTAATACCAAATTCTTGTAACTAAGTTACAAGGAAATGTGTAGAAGAGAGAGGGGAGACTTAACAGTCAGATCTTGGGAGTACAGTTTTTGAGGTTGATATGCACTGTACACAGTTTTATTTTGACTCTGTCTACCTGATTAAAATAATGACAACAAAAACAACACCGACATAAATTCAGGATGGAAGCACTTGTGAGAAGCTTTATACCATATAGGGCAAGGGTTACTTAGGTAAACAAATGAAAGAGCGAGTTGAAGTAATCTTATGAGGAAAGGCAGGGATGTGACATGCAGGTTGTAAAGCGTTGAATATTAATTGTATAAAAAAATTTATGCATATTTCTATGGTTTTAGGGATGTAGAGTTTCTCTTCCTTCGTTACGAAGATGTTGGTAGCTATTCTGATACAGCGATAATCATGTATTTAAGACTGCATTAAAAGAGATTTTCTAACCGAAGCACGCTTCCTACACGAACCTTTTTCGTTATTGTCTTTGAATTTCGAAGATCTTCATCTTTGATTTTCATTTCATCCTGCCAACTGTTCAACTCCTTCAGCATGTCTTGCAATTCTTCAGCATTTTGGCGAATACTCATTTGCACTTTCAATCCTTCATCCGCCATCTTGACAACTTTGTAACCTCGCTATTTTCTGAACAGACTTCACAAGGATACCCTTCTAGATTACGAAAACCGATCACTTCTCGAGGGAAAAGCCTTCTATTAAGAAATAGAGCGACTTAGGGTTGATTTTATTCTTTATCTATTTTTTGCTCAATAATCATAAAATTTCCTTAATTTCAATTTCATTTGACCCCAAGGTTCGACCGCCTTACGAATTTTTATGCCTCTCCCTCCCCACCCTACTGCAAATGACCGATGATGTCCATGATTTTGGCGGGAAAACGCGGGAACGGAGTACAGCTATCTCTAATCACTCTTTCAACGCTTTTATTTAAGCCTTTTTTAGTCTCTTTTTTATATATACTATTTTTGTCTAAGATTAAGATTATTGACCTTTTTTAAGTTAAACGAAGCGTCTTAAATCAGGGTCATTTACCATGGTTTGAAGTTATGACGAAATGAGACGAATTACTCAGGGGGCGAACCTTCAGTTGCTGCGATATGAATTTTGTAAGCCGTTTTTCAAGTAGCTTTAGATATTTTGTGATATATCTTTTACTTCCCTCGTTTCCTACACGACAAGATCTACTAATGAACCGATTTTAATGACATTTCAGATTAACAGAGGTACCATAAAAAAATTACAACCGCAATAGCTTGAATTTCCACAAGAAGCGAAATCCTTTTAACCCAAGGTACTGAAATATAATATTACCTGTATAACTGTAAGTTTCATCAATGACCTGAATTTCCAGATCTCAGATCAGTCAATTTGTCGGTACATTAAATCCCCACTCCTGATGCCCTACAGATCTTTACATGATGACCACTACATGTGCGAGGAATATACTGTTACTTCGACACTACTGAAATCTATGGTCAACGCACATATCAGGGAAGTGTGGGTGGGTGTGTGGGTAATTTCTCTATTTCATCAGTGCATCAGTTTAGCAACCAATAATCGAAGGCTATAATAATGCAAAAAAAAACAAAACAAAACAAAAATGATGATCCAAATATGTCTTCTATATCTTGGTTGGTTTACTGTTGCTGTTTTTCTATTCCTTATTTTTATCTTAGCTTGGCAAATAAAAGTGAATACAAATTAAATGAGCTGTCTCTTTATTTTAAAAAAAAAATGAGTATACATGTAATACTCAGTTACTGTTAAATAAGCCTCTATTCCTCCATATATCCCCTCCTCCCCCTCTCTTCTGCTGGTCAAATCTAAAGGCAGAGTTGATCAGACAAATAATTCAATAATGTAGAGATTTATAAATATCAAATGATGTTCAAATAATTTTTTTCATAATCAATTGCAAAAAACATCATTTGAACTATTTCCAAATAGCAGATAATATTTAATATAATAAATATACCAAAAATTTATCAATTATTATATTAAACAAATCCTATATTCAATGATGGAAACTCATATAAGTCTGGAATAATCACAAATTTGGATGTAAAGGATCAATTTATATTTGAGTTAGGATGTTTTGCATTAAGCTACTGCAATATGAACAGCTCCAAATAAATATGGAGTTGAAGAAAACTCTAGTAAATATGTGAAAAACACAGTGGTTGATCCTTATGTGGGATCAATATCAGTATCTGGGCAACTGCCCACATACCCCTTCCTTAACCCAACATTAACCCTGACTTGTTATCAATTGACTGTTGTTGAGTTAGGGGAGGGGTAAGTTGGCAGTTGTCCAGATACTGATATTGATCCCTTATGTACATGCTTCCATTTTAGCTGTTCTACTAAGGATTAATTAAAAAGGAGGGAGTCAAAAATGAGATAAAAATTGAGGGTCAAAAATTGAAGTGAGAGCAGAACCTTGAGACCTTACTTCAATTAAGCAACACTGACTATTACTACATTGTAAACAAAGACAGAAATTCTAGGAAAAAAGGAAAAGGAAAAGCTATGGCTCCAAATGCACCTTGGGTGCATGCAACAAGTCACTTAGCTAGTGAATACAAAACAAACTAAGGTTACTTAAGTAGAATAGCAGTTTTTTTTTTCATTTTTTGTTATGTTAATTTTTTTTTAGTTCTATCACCCTGGCGAGAAGAAATACTACAGGATAACGAATTTTAAGACCAAATTGGCGACCTTCATGTATGGAACCGAAGCAGTCATTATGAATGGTTTTGTTTTGGGTTTAAAACTATTAGACGACTGATAGTAGTGTGCTGATACTTAGCTCAGTTTTGTCTAATTAACAAGCAGACTCTAATTCATGTGTAATTAACTCTGGAAGGGAGACAACTGTGCGGACACTAGGCTTACTACATCAGGGCGATTAATTAGAAATACCAAGGATACGAGTGCTTATGAACTACCTCAAAATCTTTGTTGGTAAATTTCTGTGAACAATCATATGGAAACATCTATTTGTTAGTTGAAAAGTAACCTTTTATACGCGAGCATCCTCTTCAATTTCCTCTATCTCACTGATCAGTATTACCACTTGATCCATCTCCATCTGAACCAAGTTTTTTTTTCAATTTCTCAGCAGAAAGCTCCAGTCCAGCATCTCTGATGGCCTGAATCAATCCCGCAACCGTGCTACCCTCCTTCTCACCATATGCTGCTAGAAATTTATTGATATTTATTTCTTCGTCTCTTGCATTCCATCCCCTAGATTCCTCAAGCAAACCGGGGTCATTCAATTTATCCAAGACAGCACGCCAGTCAGCATACCCTTAAATACAAAGGATATATAATTTTCAAACAATCAAGCAACGAATTAAAAGGGTAAGTTTCTAAAGTGCTGCGTCGGTAAGAGAGTAAAACAAGATACTTTTGGCTTTATCAACTGATTTGATAAATAAATGTAAATTGGCCACCGTAAAAGGTCTCACAGCTCTAACGAAACAGTGAAAAAAATAACCTCATCAATCAATCAAAGCTGGTTTACTCCAGGAACGGGGTCGAAGTCATAAACTCGATGGTATCGTTGTCAGAAGAATCATTGTTCCAATTGTTCCGTTTTCTTTCCATTTCACCTACGACCTCGACGCTTATGATCTAGTTCTCAGCAATTTATTTTCATTGATTGATTCTTCGGTTGCAGCTTATGACTTCGACAATCCAAGCAATATTTATCTCATAGTCATTTAAAACTAATCTGCTACGTGCTACCCAATGAAAATAACAGTCGAATTCCAATTCATTAAACACAACAAAACTTCAATGTAATTTTCTCCGTTTACTCGCACGCTTGACAAGAGCATGAGGGTTTCAAACTTCAAAAGGTTAAAAAGTGCGCTCGCGAGGTTATAATGTCAGCGGTAAGTTCGCCCTGTCGCTAAGGCAACAAATCTCGTTAACATATCACGCAATTGCTGAATGATCTACGGATTGATTGATAAAAGGTGCCTGGGTAATCAGTCAGTCAATCCAATCATCCATCAATCTGCCGGTCTAATTAATCGATAGTCAATATATTCATCTTTTTTTCAACGCACTTCAAGCCTTGTTTCTCAAATAATTGTTTTTGTTAAGCTCAGATTTTTTTCGTGTTAGAGAAAATCGAATCAATGTCTTCTCTCGTTGAAAACAGTTAAGGGGAAGGATAGACATTTACTTACCTTGGCGTGAGTTACTGATTTCTCTGGATATCATTTTTTTGTCATCGATGGAGAGTTGTCTCAAGAAACGATCCAATCCTTAAGTAACAAAATAGTAATGTTTTATGATTTTTACGAAAAAATCATTTCTAGGGGAAGGAAGCAGCTTAGAAATGACTTGTAGGTGAAGATTTCGCTTCATAGTGCTCGCGATAATGGCTATGACATACTTTCTGCATTATTTCCTGATTCAATATTGTTGCTATTATTTTGATTTTCACTTGGAATATTATGTCGTAGCAGTTTTCAGAATTCACTTCATTGTGTTAACACCACGTATTAATATTCTATGATTTTAGATACAATACAAGAGATCAGTTGAACGGGGTACTTTGGCCCTTGAAAAGTATAGGCAACATATTGCTTTACACCTTTAAGAATTTTCAGTAATTTTTACGAGATGAAAGTGATAGAGATATTAAGAACAGGAGAACACCTGGAAAACATTACTTTTTTAGTCTTAGGGCGAAACGACTAATCTGAGTTGGGGAGAATTTACTTATGGTTATATCTATGAAGCGACCTTAACTTTTAGTGAAGCGACCAATCCCAGGTCGAAATGTTACTAGGCTAAAAGTATCCTTAAACTGGAGTGCAAATACATGTATCTAATCAGCAGAGTACGTGTTTGATATCACACTCTTACCTTTTCGCAAAAATGGCAGAAGGTCTTGATCATTAGCTTTTCGCCTTCTTGCTTTGCGCATTTTGCGACAGGCACAAATTAAAATGATTGCTACTACGATGATAACTCCCACAGAGATAAAAATCTTCAGGTATTTGCTCCGGGTTCCCTGTGCCTGAGACGACCTTTCAGCCATCGGTACCTCGTCCGTGTTGACCCTTTCGGTTTCAGTCTTCGGAACAACAGTATGCCGTTTCGTGCTCATCGATATCACCTCCATCGAGTTGATTCCTGAAATAAAAAGACAATGACGTATTCAGGTGTATTCTCGAGGCGCGCGCCGATTGGGAGTCGTAAATCCAATTTTTTAACCTTTTTATACTAATCAATTGATGAGGTAATAAAAAGTTAGGATTAGCCGAGTTCAAAGCATTACCTAAGAGTCTCTAAGAATATGATTCTATGGTTCTACTTCTTTTTTAATTTACTATGATCTGCTTTTGTCTTCAAATTACACAAACTTCCACGCGTCAAGCTAGCCACAGGTTGATCACATACAGCGGCGTGCGCCTGGTAGACATATGTGGCAAATTTTGTGAACTGGACCAAAAAGTTTCGGGAATATTTGATTCTCGCTCTTAGTGTTCCTAGTTAGAAGAAAAGTCGACATTACTTCAAAGCAAGATTACCACACGTACTTGAAGTTGAAGTTGTGGGACTTGACGAAGCTATTGGCACTGCATCTGTACCTCTCGGTTTGCAAATGCGATCATGCTCCGTCAGGCATTTTTGCACTTCTTCCTCGTCGGTGCGACAAGGAGACGAGCACTCCGCACAGCCATTGACCTCGCTATAGTATCCATCCTCACATCCATCGCATTCGGGTGGGGAGGATACTGTACACTTTTTTATCAATTTGGGTTTTCCAGGAAGACAGTTTGAATAAGTGTCACACCTTACAAGAAAGGAAAGAAAACACATTTTTATTTTTTTTCTTCCCGAAGGAAGAGAAATGATTGTTCAAAATAAAACAAACAAGGTGCTAATATGTCAAATGAATGTTGTTAAGCTGATGGCAAAAAAACAAACATACAAACAAACAAAAAACCGGTGCGAATGTAGTTGCCTGTTTACGTCTCCCTCTTTGGAAGAGGAAAAGCCGTGTGCAGTATCTCTCATTCCAACTTGTATGGTCACGTTGTACGTGTCTCAAGCCACTTGATAAATGTCTCAAAGAAAGGCTAGTCAATAGAATTATATTGAAGAGGTGAAGAGATTGATAATGCTAAATAAGGAAGTGAACAAATCCATAATACGTAAATGGATGAATAAATCGAGTAATAATGTACATGAAGAAATACGCGCTTCTAATCGGCTGAAAACGAGTGCATTCTCATGTAACACCAGTGCAAAGTTGTAACTTTACTTCTGAGATGTTTTTTCATGTTATTACCAATACGAATTTTTATCAATTTTAACAATAAAATGGATGATTAAGAATACAGAAAGTGTCTTACGGTCAAACAAAATGAGATTTAGTTTGGAAACTCACAATATACACTCGTCGAATCCATTGGTATCTGAATAATCATACCCTTCGATGCAGGGCTGGCATTGAGTATCCTCTGTTTTCGAGCAAGGATTTTTTAAACCATATCCCACGGGGCATTGTGAGCATTTGGTACATCCTTTATCGTCATGGTAGTAGCCAGGTAGACAGTTATAGGCTGTGGGGCTCTGTAAGTTAAAGGAATGTTAGCCAGGGGAACCCTCTAGTCTAAGTTTGTGACATTTGAGCAATTTTTTGTTGAAGATAATTTTTGTTTTTTGCTGCAGTTGCTTTTTTATTGTTGTTGTTGCTTTTTTTTTTAGTGTTTAAACTATCTCGATTTCTTCTGTGAGTAACAAACCTAACAACAAATAAAGGAAGAAAAAGGCGGAAAAGTTCTGCGTCGTTCTTTTCGGTGCCTCAGTATCTAAGCTTAATAAATTGGCAAATAATCATGAAATAACAAAATAAATAAATAAATAGACAGTTCATAGGTTATCAATTAGTCTAAAAAATATTAGGCACAGGGCCGAACACAATGCAACTTAGTGAAGACACAGTTTAAGTATTTGCTGCATCCAATCGAAAAGAATAAGCCTAAATACTAGAGCTGATCAATACAGTCTCTGAACCTTTCCTTTTCTGTCAAGAATTCTCGATCTTTGCTCTGTTCAGAAGAAAGAAAGCCGCGCGAAGAGATAGAGGCAACAGGTAGAAAGAAATTAAATCACGTCGCGTCCTGGCTGCGACCAATCCGCTAAACTGATACAATCTAGAGCTTCCAGAGAGTAATCTCTGGCGTAATGAGGAGATGAAGGCAAACCCGAGAGCCTCATAATTATTTGGCCACATAGGTGATTAAAGCTGTCCTTACTTGAGTCAAGACCCTTTTCTTTTCAAACAAGACGCCTCGAGACGTTAACGTGGGATACGTTGGTCATAATCTACAGTCACTGAGGTTTAACTTTGAAAATAATGATATCAATGCTGATTGTTCAAAGTATAGGAATGAAATCGAAAAATAAAAACCCTAGAAAAAATTAAAGTCAATAACACGGGATATTATGTGCGGTCACCCAAGTATTAGAACCCCAGCGAATATAGGGCTTGACTTCAGCGAGAAGCACGTGGTCATTTTTCACGTCTACTACCACGAATTCTTCATGTTATCTGACACAAGCAACCCATGTAAAAAGCATCTATTTTTTCTCACTGAGCAACGGATACTATGCGAGGTCGAAGCATGTTTCATAACCTGCTGTCTTGATAAGATCTTGGGTGGTAAGTGGCATGCAGTTTTTAAAGGGAAACAAGTTTCCTTATAATCCTTCAGATACAACTCTATACTCGTGATCATGTTATATCCGCGATAATGACAAATCAACGCCTTTTCTTCCCATCTGAGAGGTCTGCCTGTCTCTCTTATTGTTGGAACGTGGTTATTCCCTGCCAGCCTATTTTTTTCGAGGAATGTGCTTACACAGCGGCGAATTCATCGTTGCGACCCAACGACGACGCTTTTTTCACGCCACTGAACATGTCGAAAACCTTGCTTAAAAAGCAAATCAACACTTTGTGGCACTTGACCCATAGTTTTTTCGATAATTATTATTATAAGCTAGCCATTTCTGTTATTCTTCACCAACTAAATGCCTACAGGAAACCTTGAGACAAAATAGTTGTCGCAACTTGATAAAGTAGTTGACATCCTTTATTGCATCAGATTTTGCTAAGTTCGCAAAAAAAAAAAAATGCTGACACGCGCGACTTAACCCTTCTGGCAAGACCTGGGAAATGAGAACAGGGTAGAAAGTCTATTGGACCAGTCATGTTGCAAGTGAATATAAAGTTTTCCGCTTAGGATACAAATGTTTGATTTTGCTAATTATCATTTAGTGGTCTAATTGAAAGGGTTGCATGTGTTAACTTATACCGTCCACTGTTTAGGTTAACACATATCCGGCGCTTGCTCTTGTAAAGCCTTTGTTTTGATAACCCACATCGAGGAGAGGTCAGACTAATTCAAGAGTGAACTTAATCAAAACTTACATCAAAGGGAACATATTTCCCTGTGTTGAAATACCTTTTTTTCTAACGAATGCGGTGGTCTAGCTCATTTATTTTTGGGTAATGGATATAGATAGATATCTTTGTTTAATTGAGATTCCAGTCAAAAGAAGTTAGTTTTGGCCATATTTACAAAAAGATCGGTTGAACAATTACGTCACCAACGGTGAGCGAGCAAAAGTTTACGAATATTAAACATATTTTTTTGGTTCTTCAATTGACAAACAATACATGATTTTATACATGTCTTTTAAGTGGTCATTTCAGTAAAAATGTTACGAGAAGTTCCGTTAAATATTGTTAAAAGATTAAGCGAGTTTTAATAGAGAAAGCTGTTTAAAGGAACTGTGGCACCCTAGACACAAATAAACGCGTGACTTAGAGCATAACTTCCTTGAACTTAAAGGTATTGTGGGATGCAATTCCTAAAAAATGTAGACGCTAACCGTAACTTAGAAATCGGGCACCTTGGGGTTTGAAAAGTAAGGCTTTGCCGATAATAACCACAAAATTAACAAGACTTTTGCGCATCATATTTGCTTCTAATCAATTCATTGCCAACGTGGCCATAAAGCCCCTGATGCGTGGTGTCATAGAGCCGCTGGTGCGTGATGTCATAAAGCCGCTGGTGCGTGATGTCATAGAGCCCCTGATGCGTGACTCTATGCGTGACTCCTGATGCGTGTCTCTCGTAACTTTAACCCTTTAACTCCCATGAGTGACCAAGACAGAATTTCTCTTTACAATATCAATACAATATCAACCAGATAAGTGATGAGAATAAAGAAAAATATCAATATGGGGATAATTAGTTGATCCATTACTAAATTCTCTGAACTAACATCATAAGAATTGTATGGTTGACAGTAAGGAGAATTACAAGTTTGATCTGAGAGTTAAAGAGTTAAACTCCTGCGTGCTAGGGCCCGTAAATGATCATGGGAAAGAAATCACTTGTCAATCAACAGATTCACCATGTCAAATAAAGATGCATGGGTTACCAAACTAAGTAGAGATTTTGAAAATACTCACAAAATATCGATAGTCCCAAGTGGCGAAAACCATTGATTGAAAAGATTATCTAATTATATCCTCTGGCGCCACGGCGCCACCAGCTGAAAATGAGCAGTTCTTGCAAAACAAAGCAATGGCGCATTTTGAGAATGGCGTCTACCCTATCACGTGACTGTTCAAATTGGACATGCATCACCCATTTCTTAATTCGCAACCATGAAACGTTGTGTGAGATGATTATGTGACCAAGTATACGCTTTTTAAATGCGATACCACAGAACATGATATTATAAACACCTAAAATAAAATACTGATTAATACATAAGATGCTAAGATGCCCAGACCCATAGTTTGAATAAAACTGTGTCATGAAATTCCAGCCGATTGTTATGCAAACTAACTCACGGCCATCTAGCGAAGGAAAAGACAAAATCAGTTTGAATGTTAGTTACTTACGGCAGCTGCTAAAGTCGAAAGGAGAGCGAAACACGTAATTTCTAACATCCTGCTTTTCTACGAGTTGAGACAATTTTTAAGTTTCAGAAAACACGACAAGTTGCCGGTGGGGCAATAGGGTGATGTTTTTAGCACACGAGATAAAACGAAAAAGAACGATTGTTTCGAGGGTCTTGATTCTATAGGTCCGGTATCTGAGTTGCATGTTGGGATACGGGACTTTCCCTCAATATTCGCATCGGGCATATTGCGTGGACATCATTAAGTATTCATAACCGATAGAGCGGCAAACGAGGCAAAGAGGCAAACGAATCGCTTTCGGAATGTATTTATCAGAGTAGATTTTCGCACGGCTTTAAACAATTTTCGAGGGTACGTTGGTGTTACACCATATGAAGGTTTGTTTGGTCACAATGATTTTTCTAGACCGAAGATGAAGTTTGACACGAAGCCGCTGTGTGTCAAACGTTATAAAAAGTCGGGTCAAACATTACCTGTCATTTGAGAGCTATTTAAAATTAATCAGTGTTAACGGGTCATTAGTCTTGTCAATAAGTGTCGTTGTAAACCTTTTCAAACTCAATAAAAAGGTTGTTTAACAACTTGGCGCCAAGATATATCTCATATCGCCACATAGCATTAGTTAAAGGGGTTTTATTCAACTATTGACATTAAGGGTCACTCAAACATTATAGCATTCTTTCGTTGCATTCTTGTACACGTAAATGGTAAGACAAAACACGGCTGACGCATAATAATGCGGCGGTCAAAAACCTTAGAAAATTGTTTCCCTATTTGATAAGACCTCCTATACCTTCAGACACTTTTAAATTAAAACGTACATAATTCGTATTAGAAATGTACCAAACCGGTTGATTTTCTCGCGTGAGAAGGACTTAGGACAAATTGTGCTGCAGTCATCAACTTTTTAATCTTTTGTGTTTGAGTGCGGCTATGTCGACTAACAACTCCGATTAGACAGGTGGACATGTATACCGTTATTTTGACAATGACCATAAAACATACTAAAGAATCTAGTTTTCCTCCACATCTAATAATTTCCTAAGTGATATATCCAAGAGAAGTCGTACTTAATGATTTGCTCTCGACTATCTTATTCGAAACACGTGGGCACGCATGCAAATACAGTTGGACTTTGATTTTATTACGAGAGGTGATGATCATCTATGTAAGCGTACGTTATACGGAAAGATAATGGAAATAAAAATAGAGAATAGAGAGCTCTCTCTGACAAGCAGGCATCATATCCATAGAAGGTTGATACGTTTAGGATATGCAAAGTCGAAAAGCTTCTCAAGTGTCAAATATTCATTCAAACCAATTTAAAATGATCAGCAGCCAAGATGCCATTCCTTTGTGGAGTCACTTAAGTTTGATTGTATTTCTGTTAATAACATACTTGACACCATACACAAAACACCCGCATGCTGCATTTATCATCAGATGTGGGAAACACACGGGTTGAATTTCAATACCAGGGAAAAGTTTGTTTGTTCAGCACCGAAATGGCTAATCCCTGTCGCTTTAGTCTATTTTATTGATTTCCAATTCCTCTGTACGCCGTTGAAATCGAGGACTTTAATTATTGTTTCCAATCTGTTCATTCTAAATATATTTCAGGTGTCTCTGGTTTCAATATCAATAAGCACCCTCATTCTTTTCTTGTGACAAAACTGGTTTACTTTCCTGCTATTTTCAGGATCGCTAGAAATTTTCGCTTATGGAAGGACAGCTTAGGATAACAGTTTTCGGTAAAGGAACAGCAAGGACGGCTTCAGTAGTATTGAGAAGATTTGTACATGCCATAAAACCGTGACGGCGACAAAGCTGGAAAAGAAAAAGTCGATGCCAATGATCCTGTCCCGTCGACATGCTTGAAGAGCACATTTTAAAGGAGCTTCGAAAAATGCTTGGCATGTTTGCAAACAGAAATATCATTTCAAGCAGGAAAAAAACAGGAAACAGGAAAAGGAAATGCGTAAGATCTGTTTCAGAACCTTGTTCGAGTTCGAAATGTTTGCGGTTGTTTCCCCGAGGCGACAATGTTCAAAGTTTTGATAAAACTGTATTTAATTATCAAGCAGAAATCAGAAGTACAGTAAGATATCATTGTACGGTGTTAAGCAAGCGTTTTTCCACATCTTCAGGCGAGTTTTCTTGTGAAGAAATGCTTGCCCAGCACCGTCGAATTTTATTTTGGCGCACTTCTGACAGTTCCCAGCAGATAATCAAAAGCAGTTTTGTCATGATATGGTCCTCTCAGAAATTGCCTCCGGAGATTGTTTCCGGAAATAGCTTGAACATTCTCGAATAGCTTTTAGAAAACGCATCTCCCTTATTTTTTAACGTGATTCAGACCGATTAATGCTCTATTTGTTTTCAGGATCATGACAGTACTTTGTTAATTGAAATGTAATTTTTCAAAGCGGCGCCTCCTAGAAAAAAAGGTTGTCGTTTTGACACATGCTCTTAACTGTCCTTATTGCCGTTGTTTACACCGATTACACTGTCACTCGCCTTCGCAACACACACAAAAGGTGCTGACAAATGGGTTACTGCGAATAAATAAAATGAACATTAAATATTGATGGAAAGCGCTACAAACATTGTAGAACAAGATTCAAATACCATCAAGCCATCAACGCTTTCAGGCCTTAATTTTAGAAACGGCAATAAATGTACCAGTCGTCAATTATCGCCCGATATACGATGTTTCTGTGCTTTTCAGTAGTTCGCAATGAAACACCCACAACACACATTGTCGAAAACAAGAAATGTTAAGCGTAGCAAAAGGTAGTTTTCACTTACCGACGACGCCGTTACTGACACGAGTACAAGCGCAACTGTGATGTATTTACACCTCGGTCCCAACATGTTGATTCCTCAGTTGCGGACAGCCGCGCAAAGTTAAAAAGAAAACGTAGAGGCGTCAATCTACCGCATGTGCTTCTTTATGAACTCATAGCTAAAATACTGAAAGGATGGTGGGCTTTTAGATATAATATGTTTTGCTTCGATGAGCAAGCTGGGATAGGGGGTTTCCCTACTGTCGGAGAAAAACAATGGTCTCTGAGGCATTTCCGCTAGGAACAAAAAAGTGCTTTTGTCTTTCTTCACGGAAAACAAGAATAGAAACAAAGAAAATAAAAAAATTAAGAAAGAAAGAAAACCGTTCCGGTGAGCCACCATTCTTTCATAATGCGATCATCAAGTTTTGACTTTTCACAAATAAACATCATGTTCTGTTTGCTTTTCTTTTGTCTTTTCTCATAAGGCTCTATCGATCCCACAGTACAGGAAATGAGTTAACATAACTGTACAGGAAATAAGGTAACATGAAGCTATAAAATGCTTTTGTTCTTCCAGGAAAAAAAATAATAGTAGCAAAGAAAATAAATTAAAAAAAAAAAAAAAGAAAGAAAACCGTTCAATGGGTTACCAATCCTTCATTCTGCGATTATCGAGTTTCGAGAGCACTGAAGAAGCAAGAGTTGCTCTCGAATGCGCCTCAAGCAACTCTTACGCTTCTCTCGTGCTCTCCAAACTTCCCACGTGCACCCATAACTCGATATACGAGCGCTAAGCATGGACCAATTCTTTAGTAGTCTGTCCAGATAAAAGCGAGGTTACAGACCGCATGAAGGTTTGCTTGATCTCAATGATATTTTTTAGGACTGAAGGTAAAGTTTGACACGAAGCTGCTTTGTGTCAAACGTTATAAACAGCCGGGTCAAACATTTCCTGTTAATTTAAAGCCATTAAAAACTAATCAGTTATAATTTTCATAAGGTACCGATAGTGAAGTGTCATGATTCAACTTTATAGAAGCCCGAAAAATCCCAACAACTGTGACTGAATCTCAAGAACATATATGTTCACATGCAACTGGATTTACTCACCGATAGTGCTGTAAATGTAGTTATTAATGATATGAAGAAAAAGACGCCACACTTCTCAAACAAAAAATTTCTGCCGATGGAATTGAATCCTTTAAAACTAATGATCCAACCACGACAAAGCTTAAAACTGTTATCTATCCGTCAATTGCGGAACGACGATGCGTAGTCATCGGGAGAGTACGGCACAGTCCGATGCACGTGCGTATATTCAGAGAGCCAGGAAGAGTAAGCTTTCAGACAAGACGCCTTTGATTTACCATACTTGACTAAGTTTGGGGATAAAAAATATCCCGTATGGTAAAACATTTCACGTCCACTAAGAATGATTCTTTTATTGGGTATATATTGATCGTTAACAAATTTCCTGTACCTGATACTAATATGCAACATTGAGATTGCAGAAAGGGACTGAGAGTACTTTGAAATCCCAGACACGGAAATTGTCTGCGATTTATTCGATCCGACTTGTGCCTCATAGAGTTATTGTTTTGGCAATTCGACTTCGATAGACACACTCCGAATGTTTCAGGGACCATTAGGAATTCGATGAAACGAACAGGAAATTCAATTTCCTGTTTTTTTTTCTTGCATTTTTTCATCGAGTTTTCTTACTGAATGACTCGATAGAATCGTACGTTCCCGCGAAGAGAGAGAAAAAACTATCTTTATAAGAAGGAAAATTCAATTCATTACGTCCGTTTACCGAATGGTGATCGAGAATAATTTTACCTTTGTCGAGGCATCGCAAGAATGAACGTAATAAACAACTGCAGGAGCCCATGGGCTCCTGACAGAGCGTAAATTCTCAGCCAATTTGCTTTAAAACTCGACGTTACAAAGAGCCGCCTGCAACCTATAACAAGCGAACGGTATTAGATAACTCAAAACAATTTTGTCGGACTACGGCTGCAATTAATCTGTTGAACTGACACAGTCTGGGGCATTTATCTAATCAAGTTATCACTTCTATTCAGAGCTTAGAGCTTGACCACCACAGAGCAGTAATCAAGCGTTAAGTCACAAGTCACGACCCTGTCTTTTTTTCCCGTAAGATAATATTTGTTTTAAAATAACATATGAGCCATGTAATCCTTTGAGGTGCTAAATGCATGAGAAGTTGGAAAAAAAATAATCCGACGAAGGCTTTTTCGGCTGTTATCTAACCGCTTACCACATGTCATCAAGTGCAACTTTATACAATTAAAGATAAACACAAACAGCTTGGCACCATAGTGGAGTCAATATTTGCCCGTCTAGGAGGTCTTGTAGTGTCGTATCAGCAAAACACATAATCACGTCGCAAGAATACTTAGAATTTTTCTAGCCATGTGCTCACGAAGAGACCTTCTCGTTCCAATGTCCATGCATTTAGGAACTCAGAAATTACCACGATCGTGCTATTTAGAGATGTAATGAAAGAGCTAAACGTTTTAACCTCTGCGGAAAGGTTGAAACGTTGTACTTACATCCTCTGATAGATTTATATACCGGTATGATAAGGAAAGATTTTTCGTTGCGATGCCTAAAATAATGAGGCTGATCGACAGAAATTTGACCTGACTCGCTACAGGATGATAGGATAAACACCTTCAATACTGATAAATACTTAAGAAATTGCATCATGACAATTCAGCCGATTGTTATGCAAAGTAACTCACAGCCAGCTAGCGAAGGAAAATGCAAAATCAGTTTAAATGTTAGTTACTTACTGCAGATACTAAAGTTGAAAGAAGAGCAAAACATGCAATTCCTAACATCCTGCTTTTCTACGAGTTGAGACGACTTTCAAGTTTCAGAAAAACACGACGAGTTGCCCACGGGGCAACCAGGAACAGGCATTTTAGTCATGGTATGGCTCTAGATCAGTATTTTCTACATAAAGTTAAACAGCATAGCCAAACTGAGATGGAAAATCATCGAGTTTTCTTACTGAATGACTCAATAGAATCGTACGTTCCCGCTTAAAGAAGAGAGAGAAAAAACTATCTTTGTAAGGAAAATTTAATTCATTAAGTTCGTTTACCGAATGGTGATCGAGAATAATTTTACCGTTGTCGAGGCATCGCAAGAATGAATGTAATAAACAACTGCAATCCCACGCGATAGCGTAGTTTTCAAAAGCAAATTCTCGCCAATTTGTTTTAAAACCATTCTTTTTACGCCATTGTCCCCAAAAACTTATAACAAGCGAACGGTATTAGATAACAAAACAATTTTGTCACGACTACGCTGTATGTAAAATATTGAGAGAACACAGTCTTGTTGTCATTTATCTAAACAAGTTGTAAATTCTATTCAGATGATAACGTTAGGCTACACAACAGAACAGTAAACAAGTTAATAATAATGTCGTTTTTCTTGTGAGATAATATCTATTTTAAAATAACACTTGGAGCCATAATTCTTCAAAGTGGTAGCCAATTCGAAAAACGTTGGTCGCCATTTTAAAATAATTCGACGAAAGCTTTTTACGGCTGTAATCAAACCACTTGTCATATGTCATTAAGCGCAACTTTAGTCAACTAAAGATAGACAAAACCTTTAATGTGCACCAAAGTGGACAATAGGATGGATGATATACAACCTTCAGCGCTCATCTAAACCACAATCGTCTAGTTATCGATCGAGATGCTCTTAGAATTTATCGGGCCATGTGCAAGGAATGAAAATGACATGCAAACCGCGGATTTATCTTTGCAACTCTAGTTTTAATTCACTATATCTCTTGGTTTATGATGAAACGTTATAGTTTTCGCCAATTTGGCGACTAATGCACAGGCTTTTCTTTTGAAAAAAGCACATTTCCTTCTAATTGTGGCTGAGTATTTTAATTTCTGAATGCACTGCGAGTCTGTATTTATATAGCGCTATTTCTATTGCTATTCAATAGCGCTTTACAATTCATTTAATAATTAATAATTATAATTTAATTACTTCTAAGCGCACCGCTTTAACATTTTCAAAGCGCTTTAAAGATTTTCTTGCACATGCTTTTTCAGGATTACGCCAAACGAAGAATGAAAAATTAAGCAGCTCATTTTAACTTTCCAAAACCATGTTATTGGCTATAGTGTTATTAATTTCTAGTCGACCAAATTTTAAACAAGCAATGTGATGAAGCGTCTTTTAGCACAACGTTATGGCTTTGAAGGAGTTCGGACCTTGAATTCACCACCTTTGACTGTTGTTCACTCACGCCTCACTAAGTTCGCCGTATTAGAGGCAGGAAACACACGGGGTCATTAAGTTAAATTTCAATTCAGAAAGAAAGTTTTTGTTCAGCGCAGAAATGGCTAATCCCTTTCGTTTTAGTCTATTTTCTTGATTCCCAGTGAGGCCATTGAATTCGAGGACTTCAGTCGTTGTTTCCGATCTGTTCATTCTACGACAAAGTCGTTACGAAACATCTCATCAAGCTGTGAGGGCACTAAACATTTTATGAGTATTTTCATATAGCTTAGCAGTGTTCTCAGTTAAATTACATTGATTCTTGTGATGCTTCGACAAAGCTAGAATTATTCTCGATCACCATTCGGTAAACGGACGTAATGAATTGTATTTTCCTTCTCATAAAGATTGATTTCGCTCTCTCTCTCTTCGTGGGAACGTACGATTCTATTGAGTCATTCGGTAAGAAAATTTGATGAAAAAATTATAATTTTAATATATTAATTATAAATTAAATTTCCTGTTTGTTTCATCGAATTCTTATCGGTCCCTGAAACATTCGGAGTGTGTCCATCGAAGTCGAATTTCCAAAACAATTCCTCTGTGAGGCACAAGTTGGATCGAATAAAACGCAGACAATGTCTATGTTTACTTAGTACTCTCGGTCTCTCTTTACAATCTCAATGTTGCATATGTTATTAGGTACAGGAAATTTGTTAACGATCAATATATACCCAATAAAAGAATCATTCCTAGCGCACGTGAAATGTTACAGGATATTTTTTTTCCAAACTTAGTCAAGTATGGCAAATACTATACTACTATACTTATATACTATACTTGACAGTCACGTGCAACGGACTGTGCCGTACTTTCCCGGAGACATCGACGTTGCGCAATTGACGGATAGATAATAGTTTTCCTCTTCGTCGTGGTTAAGTTAGCTGTGTTAAAGCAATTTAATTCAAATGGCAGAAATGTTTGAAAAGCGTGGCGTTATTTTCTTCATACGATTCATAACTAAATTCACAGCACTATCGGTAAGTAAATCCATATTTGCATATGCCCTCATGTGTTTCGAATATGATAGTCGAGAGCATATCATTAAGTACGACTTCTCTTGGATATATCACCTAGGATATCATTAAATGTTGGAGAAAACTAGATTCTTTAATTTGTTTTATGGTCACCGTCAAGATAACGGTATAAATCTCTACGTGTCTAATCAGAGTTGTTAGTCGACACAGCCGTACCCAAACATAAATGATAAAAAAAATGCTGACTGCAGCACAATTTATCTGAAGTCCTTCTCTCTCGCGAGGTACCCAACCGATTTGGTACATTTCTAATACGAATTATGTACGTTTAAAAAATTTCTAAAGGTATAGGAGGTCTTATAAAATAGGGAAACAATTTTGTAAGGTTTTTGACTGCTGATTTATCATGCGTCAGCCGTGTTTTGTCCTACCATTTACGTGTACAAAAATTCTACAAAACTAGGCCTGTAATGTTTGAGCGAACCCTAATTAAAAAAAAATGTTTTATCTTTACGATGACCGCCACAAACAACGAGAAAAGGGCGCTATTTTCATGAGATTTGTTTATAAATACTACGCAGTAGTCGGTAGTATATAGTAGTAAGTTGAAGGTCAGTCATGGACCGCAACACGTGTTCATAAAACCTCTTTAATTAATGCTATGATCCGATATAAGATATATCATGACGCCAAGTTGTTAAAATATCATTTCACTGAGTTTTAAAAGGTTTACAAAGAGACTTGTTAGCAAGACTAATGACCTGTTATCACTGATTAATTTTTAGTGGCTTTCAATTAATAGGAAATGTTTGACCCGGCTGCTTATAACGTTTGACACAAAGCAGCTTCGTGACAAACTTTACCTTGAATTTGTGACAAGTTATTTCTTTCCCATTATCATTTCCGAGCTTCAGCACGAAGGCGTTCAAATGTCGAGTCACACATCAGGGGCTCTATGGCCACGTTGGCAATTAATTAGAAGCAAATACGATGTGCAAAAGTCTTGTTAATTTAATGGTTATTACCGGCACGGCCTTACTTTTCAAACCCCAAGGTGCCCGATTTCTACGTTACGGTTAGCGTCTAAATTTTTAAGAGTTGCATCCCACAATACCTTGAAGCTCACCAAAGTAATACTTATGTCACGCGTTTATTTGTGTCTAGGGTGCCCCAGTTCTTTTAAACAGCTTTCTCTGTTAAATTTCACTTAATCTTTTAACAATATTTGGCCGAACTTCTCGTAATATTTGAACTGAAATTACCACTCAAAAGACAAGTAAAAAATCATGTATTATTTGTTACTTAAAATACGGGGGAAAAAAATCTTAATATTCGTTAATGTTTGCGCGCACATCGTTGGTGACGTAATCGTTGAACCGATCTCATTGTAAATATGGCCAAAACTAATTGCTATTGACTGGAATCTCAGTTTAAGAAAGATATCTATCTATATCTATTACCCAAAAATAAGTGAGCTAGACCACTGCATTCGTTAGAAAAAAACGTATTTCAACACAGGAAAATATGTTCCATTCTTGATGTTTTCTACAAATATAAGTTTTGATTAAGTTCACTTTTGAATTAGTCTGACCTCTCCTCGATGCGGGTTATCAAAACAAAGGCTTTTACAAGAGCAAGCGCCGGATATTTGTTACGACTTTCCGGGAGAGTCTGAAGGTTTTCCTTTTTTTTTTTTTTTCCTTTACTTTTTTCTTCAATTTTGTCCTCTTTCAAAACTGGGTTTTCGTTGAAGAAACAATAAAATACTTAATAAGCACCAATGTAAATTAAATGTAACAGTGGACTATATAAGTTAAGGCATGCCACCCTGTCAATTAGACTACTGAATGATTATAGTCTACTTTGAAATGTTATATGAGAGATGATAACGTCTTCTTTTTTTATTAAACAAATTGAGGAGCTCGCGTAAATAGCATTCAAGAATTTAAAACAGAGTGATTTTTAGGAATTTAGCGTTTGGCAAGATTTGTCTTGCAGACTAATGAAAAGTCGCGACGCTGTAAATAGGGTCATTTGCATGATACGGTCCATGCAAAACGATTGAAGAAGTTAGACAAAGAATTAAAATCACTCTACTTGGGGTCAATGAGTGACACACCTCTGTACGTTCGTGACTCTTAGAAATAGAATAACACTTAATAAGTCTTCGTATTTATCATACTCTGAAACGATGCTTCTCATGATGTTTCTTCTCCTAACAGTGAGAGCAACGGTGAGTCATTTCATTTACATGTTGATCTACAAGTATTGCCCTATCTTAATGATATTCTAAGCGTTAGAGCGGGAGAGTCATTTCACCCAGAATTTCATTTCAGTCGTGTGAAGAGTAAATCTCGATGTTAATGCTTTGCACGTGGCCTCTGCGGGCGCGGCTTTGCCGAACTGTGCTTACAACCGGTAACAGCAGCGAAAAACGATGTGAAGCGGCTCGTAGCGACGATAACTGGGGTAAAGTATCGTACTTAGACTTAATTTCAGTTTTGTATCTATGACTGCAGCGAACAAACACATATTGCTCGTGACAGAGAAACATGTGCTGACGTCTGCAAATTCTTTACCCAGAACCGTGTGAGCCTCTAATATTTTATAGGCGGTCTCAAATAGCAATAGATTACAAGAAATTACTTTACTATCTAGAGATATGACCAAAAAAATACAAGATAACAAATGAGCGAGTTCTTTCATATCAATTTGAGAGAGTTAAAATTTTAGTTTTATTTGCATTTCAGATGGTTTAAATTCTTAACAATACTATATTTCCGGATTTTGCAAAATTTGCATCATCTCATAAGTAATTGGCTGTTTGAAGAGTAACGTAAGTAATCATTTCAAAAATACCATAAGAATAAGTCGTGTAACTCCCTAAAAATCACCGATTTTCAATGCTTTCCGTCACTCTGTGCCGTATTCGCGTTCGCCTATTTGAGGAACGTATTAACTAGAATGGATTTGCATTTAGTAGTTCATAATTTTCACATTGGCACGTGTCACACGGTAGATATTCCACATTGCTGCTAAACGGACAATCCAGCAAATCAAACATTTGTATCCTAAGCGAAAAACGTCATATTTACTTGCAACATGACGGATCTAAAAGACTTTCTACCCCGTTCTCATTTCACAGTTCTTGCCAGTGGGGTTAAGTCGCGCGTGAAAACTGTTCGTGTCAGTGTTTTTTTTTTTGCGAACTTGGCAAAATCTGATGCAATACAGGAAGTCAATTGCTTTATCAAGTGGTAACGGCTATATTGTCACAAGGTTTCCTGTAGGCATTTAGTTGGTAAAGAATAACAGAAATCGCTGGCTTATAATAATACTTATTGAAAAATCTATGGCTCAAGTGCTACGAAGTATTGATTTGCTCTTTAAGCAAGGTTTTCGACTCGTTCACATTGGCAGAAATATTGGACAAGATGGTCGGCCGCCCTTGCGCATTTCGTCCATAATGGCGTCCAAATAATGTAAGAAACTGTATGGAAATTTGTAAAATTTCTGAAATATAACAATCAGGAGCTCATGGTTCCGTCCGCTCTCGATCGAGACATATTCAGTACTGATTCTGCTATTCATCAAACCTCACAGGGACTCAAAAAATAAAAACCACTTACTTCCCGAGCCAGTTCTTTTGTCATTGTTCATCGACCTAGGTCGCCATACAGTTCTTCAAAATCCGTCGTTCTCCATAACAAATACTCGCCTATTACAGGAAAGTGCATCAATTAGGTCAACTGCTCTCGATCGAATTGACTGCTACAGAGTTCGACGCGTCCAAATATCCTGTAAAATTGCCATTTCCTCCCATCAAAAAACTTCGCAACGTGCCAGAATATCCCTTATTTTCCATGTTGAGTAAGTGACGAGACGCCATGTTGAAAACTATGACTGAAATAGTTAAACACGGGCAACGCTGATCTTCGAATCGTCGGCCACATTTGTTTATATTCTTGCAGGTCCTTTTCGGAATAAAAATATGCCAGGCGTTCAATGCAAATTCAGTAGTCTTGGCGCGAAAATTTCATTAAAACAAATCAAAATTCTGAGATCATGTCATCGCTCTGCCTCGAAAAAAACCCAAAGATTTACTTGCAGGTCTTCTTTTCTTTTTCTTTTCATCAAATAGAAGATCGGCGGTGCTCAAATTGTATAAGTCATGGTACGAAACACGCTTCTTTGCAGATCGAGCCGTGATCGCCGTCATATTGAATTCTCTTGATATTCTATTGTTCCAGAGTGTAATACGATATACCGCTGATAGTTGTTAGCGGGCTCGAAATGTCCTTGATTTCTGGCGATGAGTGGCGTGGAAAAAGCATTGTCGTCAGGTCGCAATGATGAAATCGTCGCTGCGTGAGTACATTCATGCATAAGTTGGGCGAGGTAAGACAACGGCAACCAAAGGTCGACAAAGGGACGGAGCTACATCCTTGGAAATAATAACTGCCAGTAACTACGGACTAGCGTGACTGGGCGAAAAAAGGCAATTGTCTATGTGCTGGCAAGGGAAGTTGCGTATGTAATATTTCTATGAGACTGCAAGTGAGTGATTTAAGTTTACCGTTTTGACAGTAAACTAAAATACCTAGAAATACCTGGAATGACGTACATGCAAGGGCAAATCTAAAATCACTCACTTGAAGTCTGATAGAAATATTACATCACTTACAACAGACGTAATGATACTAGATAACTAAAAACAATTCTGTCGGACGGCAATATGTTGAACTGGCAATCTGTTGAACTAACACAGTCTGAGGAATAAACATTGAAGAGAAAAGCTTAAATAACAGACTTCATTACTGGGAAAAGATAACTAACCGTCGCTCTCTGTTTCAGGAAATACGACAAGAGTAGCATCATACAGTATTTGATAGATAAGCAATGAAAAAGATCTACTACCAGTTGTCCTCGGTGTGTCAACAAAAGACACCCCTCAATAAGGGAAGGTACGTTTTTTCTTGGGGGGGGGAGGGCTGGGGAATTTTGGTATTTTTTCCAAAAGAAAGTGTTGGCCTTCTTCGGATTATTTTCTTCCAATTTCTTATGCACTTAGCACCTTAAGGGATTACATGGCACGTATGTCATTTAAAAACAAGTATTATCTCACAGGAAAGAATACAGGGTCGTGACCAAGGACTTGACGTTTGTTAACCACTCTGTGGTAGCCAAGCTCTGTCATAATCATCTGAACAGTTGTGACAACTTGATAAACAGGAAATTGTTATGATGCAAATTCCGTCCTTGCTTGGTGATGAGGAGCAGTTGATCACGATCAATTCGTATTGATAGACTGACTCTATATTGGGAGACAAACAATAAAACATCTAGACGGTTAAGAATATATGAAGGTCATATTATTCTATTCATCACTTCACGGGTTTATTTAGAACCACCATCATGACCAGCTCCCAGTTGGCTTGTTAGCTCAGTTGGTAGAGCGCTGCACCGGTATCGCAAAGGTCATGGGTTCAAATCCCGTACAGGCCTGAATTTTTTTCAGGTCTTATTTTCACTACTGCCTAAGTAGTGCACATCACTGCGAAGATCACTTTCATTCATTTCATAATAAAACATCTATTAAGTTATCGAACACGATGAAAAAAAACATATTCTCTAACAATAATGATAATAGTAATAATAATCTCACAAACTGCGTATTGCCTAGAGGAAACATAAATGAAATACGCAAGCATTGGTATTTATGTTTGCGATATGTTTATTAGGAAAATAATTTATGCTGTGATAAAAAATCAATTTCAAGGTTTTAGGTTTCCGCCTGTCGTGGCATAAATTATTTTCGCAGTTTTGCTTTCTTGTTTTGATATTTGCTCTTGCATGTACAACATTGTAGGTATTTCTATATATTTTAGTTTACTGTCAAAACGGTAAAATACCTAAAATCTCTCACTTGAAGTCTAACGGAAGTATTACATGCACAACTTCCCCTGCCAGCACAGACAGTTGCCTTCTTTCACCCGGTCACGCTATTCCATAGAAACCGGCGAGCAGCAGTTCTCGTCTGTTTCTAAGGATGTGGCGCCTTCCCATTGGTTGCCGTTGTCTTGCCTCGCCCAACTTATGTATTTGAGCACACGTGTGAACAGTAATCGCAAGCTCTTCGCTGAAGTTAAGTCTTCCTTTATAACTAAGCGGTCAGAAGATGCTGAGAAGCCTTCTTTACTTTGTGACTATCGTTAAGATAACGGTACGTATAAGGTCAAAAACTAGAATTCCTTTAATTTGCTGGTAAGTCGATGTTGTTGCATTTAACTCTAGCAACGTAAAACTTGATGACTACAGCACAATTTCCTCTTTATCATTTTCCCTGCTTTAACGCGAGTAACTCGTGCAACTGAGCGTGTTTCGTAACGACTTTGCCGATAAGAACAAACAAACGGGGGGTAATTTAGGATTATATTAAAGTAGAACTCAGTAAACTGCATTAAACAACAATCAGAGGCGGTTTCAATTCACGCTAAATTCCTTCATAAACCACAAAAGTCTATTGATAAGGGTTTGAGGATCATAAACAGTGACGTGTTTAAAGGTTGTTCAGCTAGAAAATAATAAATGAGCCAATAACTTCGTTTTGCAAAGTTAAAAAACCGCTTAATTTTTTTTTATTCTTCGTTCGGCGTAATTTTAAAAAAGATGTGCGAGAGAATCTTTTTATGCTTGAATTCACAAGCGGCGTGCCTAAAATTTCCTTGCTTCAAATAAAATCACAATCTTGAACCTGGAAATCTAGACGCCGCGGCGATCGAATCGATCGGACTCGCAGTGCAAACAGAAATTAAATTACTCATTCTGTTTATCAAGCCACAAATAGAAGGAAATGTGCGTTAAAGACTACAAAGCAGTTTGCTGAAAACCACGATAGACTTGCGCATTCTTACACAGGTATTTCGCCGGTCTGCACGTTATTTTCATTCCTCGCACATGGCCAAAGTGCCTAATGATCGTTGACATGACTTCACTCTTATGACGATCTCCGCAGTGGAGTGATGGCTTTACGCCTTGCGGTTAAAATTTTGGCTATTTTACAGCTAACGATTAACCTCTTTCTGTACCTTTTTTTTTAAGAATAACGGGTAAAATTTGTCACGCCTAACGGCTAAATGCTTTCCCCGTTTTACGGCTAAAATTTACCTTGTTTAGACCATCACTGTTTGTTTGTTTGCTCCTTTATGCATTTGACAAGGCAAATGATTTCTT